GTGTGTGTGGGTGTAAGTGCGTGTGCGTTTGCGTGCGTGCGTGCGTGTGTGTGTGTGTGTGTGTGTGCGCGCACGCTGGAGGTTATATTATATATTTTATTATACCATTTTATATATATCATTATGTTGTTGTGTTTCTTTGCAGCACTTGAACGAACTCAGACAGAGCTTTTTGACCTGAAAACCAAATATGATGAAGAGTCGACTGCAAAGTAAGTGCATATTACTTCATATGTGGATCATCATTCATATTCATTTATTAACCAATTTATTATTAATCTCGCCTATGATAAACTCTAGAGCCCGACCGATATGGGTTTTTTGGGGGCCGATGCCGATATTAGGGAGTAAAAAAATACCGATACCGATATATTGGCCGATATTCTTTATGTGTAGGCTATATTATAGTACAGTATAGTCAAAAGTTTGGACACACTTCCCATTTGTGTGTCCAAACTTTTGACTGGTACTGTATATAGAATACAGTATATAGCCTACATAAACAGAATATATATACATAAACACATTTTTTGCAATGATAACTCAAATGTGGTGCTCAAACACTTATAATGATGTGACAAACATAGGCCTTTGTAATGGAGGCAGGGTATTTAACAATTTAACAATAAACTTTATTATTCAAAATGAGTCTGACATCAGTGCACTTAACAGTAAAGTTCACTTATTATAAATAACTTAGAGGCCCCTCCTACGATAGTTGATTGACAAGGCCGTCTTACCTTAGACCCGCCCTGAGTGAGCTGTCAGCTATACAGGCGTTAATACTGAATGTTTAATGTTATATTCATTGCATACATATACTTCGTAGTAGACATCCTTAACTCATTTCTGCTTTCTGTTGTTCTGTTGTTGGTGTTTCTTTGTTTGAATATGGCGCTTATCACATGCTGTGTGGTATCGGCGATTGGTATCGGGGCATTTTAACGAGTACGAGTACAGAAGTTCAGTATCGGTGCATCCCTAATAATAATGAATAATATTTTTTTTCACAAACTCTGTGTTGTGTATTTTTTGGTAATCCAATGAACATGCAGAACATTCGTATTTAAATAAGTCTTTTTGCAGTTTAATATTCACAGACACAGTCTATATATATATGTACTGACCTGTTTCTTATGTATTCATGATTTGATATATATGTACTGACCTGTTTTTTATTTATTCATCAAAAATAAGACAAATTCCATTAAATTCCGCGTTATACAGTAAATTCCATTATGACTGGATTCCGCGATTCTGTTGATGTTTTCTGCATCGCGGAAATCATGGGGCCCTACTAATGTAGCAAACGAATATGATAATCTCATTGTGAGAGTAAAGGATGGGGACGTTGTTGTTTATTTACTTAGCATTGAGTCTCTCCAAGTAGGTAACAACGTAGCGTTAAATCACCATTCAAAAGACTCAAGTCACCACCGCACTGCCGTCTATTGGACTGCAGAAAGATACTAACTTTTCAATATGCTACGTTACTGACTGTACTGACAAACTATGCTGACACAGTGTCTGCGCTGCAACAGAACGCGTCAAAGCGACCATTGAAAATAATTTGAACTTCTGTCAGCATGTCATAAATAGAACGAGGCATCAGTTTACTGAATCCGGTGTAGACAACATAATGGGCGCGGCCGGTAAACACCAGCATTGAGTGGCCGCGATCAGCTCCGGTGGCCGTAACACAGGCTCTAATGCTCCGCAGACGCATGCCGTGATGCGCAGATCAGCTCTAGTCTCTAACGTCACTGAATCTGCTGTTAAAAATGAGCCATCCATTCATCATATCATCGTGCAAAACTAAGAATTAGAATAATTGTAATGTGACGATCAAAGATAGGTGCGGGTGGGTGGCGGCGGGTAATTTGAAGCAGTGGACTCGGGTGAAGTTTGAGCTCATCCGCGCATCTCTACACTACACTGACCTGGGTCGCCAGTAGCAAACAATGGAGCGCGCTCTGCTGGACAAACTAAGTAATTAC